TTCAACACAGATGACCAGGTCTTTGCCCTCCAGGCAGGATATTAGTATCTTCTCTGGGAAAATCTGACCAGCCTAGTTCTGAAGAAATGGCCTTTAGAAATTCACCTGCCCTTTGGCTTATGGTCAACAAATCCTATCTAAGCACTCAGTTTCCAATCAGCTTTTCAAATTCTCAGTCTTAAATGTGAATACACAACCAAGGATTATCAAATGTTAAGGAATGCCTTGAATATTAAATAAAGAGACCAAGTCAACCAAATAAAGAGTAAAAGGCAACATTTTTTTGTGATGTGGACCATTTTTTTTAAAGTATTTATTGAACTTGTTACAATATTGCTTCTGTTTCATGTTTTGGTTTTTTGGTTACGAGACAGGTGGGATCCTAGCTCCCTGACCAGGGATCAAACCTGCACTCCCTGCACTGGAAGGCAAAGTCTTAACCACTGGACCGCCCGGAAAGTCCCATAAAAGACAATTTGAAGGAAGCAGACTATGTAAGGAAAGGAAAACTTAAAAAAAATCATTAATCCACGAAGAGATACTATGTTCATGAAATAAGAACAAGATCATATTAGCTAGTGGGAAGCAGCCGCATAGCACAGGGAGATCAGCTTGGTGCTTTGTTTCCATCTAGAGGGGTGGGATAGGGAGGGTGGGAATGAGATGTAAGAGGGAGAGGATATGGAGATATATGTATACGTATAGCTGATTCACTTCATTATACAGCAGAAACTAACACACCATTGTAAAGCAATTATACTCCAATAAAGATGTTTAAAAAAAAATTGTGTCCAGGAATTCCATAGGAAACCAGGGTATCTTCTCTATCATTTTTAAAAGCAACAGAAGACATTCACAGATAATCTTTAAAAGCATATCAGTCTCATACCTCTATCTGAGAGATGACTCAAAAAAATCCTCAAAGATCATGTTATAAAAGAACTCTCTGGTGGTATTAAAATAAGGTGAACAAAGAATTTCATCAATGTATTTTTATAATTGTGGTTTCAAAACAATTCAACTGTGAAAAATTATTGAAAGACGAAACAATAATTTCATAATAGTAGCAACTAACATAAAGTGTTAGTCTCTGGTCTAAATGCTTTACACGAATTACCTCATTTAACCCTCAGAACAGCCCAATGATGGCAGATACCATAATTATGTCTATTTTACAGATGAAGAAACTGAAGCACAGGGGAGTTTAGTAATTTGCCTAAAGTCACACAACTAGTGTACTTGCTATTTAACTATGTCTCTCTGCTGTGACCCTGAGATTGGAACTCTGCTAATCTTATTTCCTAGACTTCCTTGTGAACTGGCTCCCTGTGTCTGCTAATTAGAGGCACTGGAAGAAAACTGCAGGGAGAGAGTAGGAAAGAAGGCTTGTGCTTTCTGTTTTCTAGCACTTTCAGTATTGTTCCACCACCAGCAGCAGACAGTTGGCTCTAGCTCCCAACTTCTTTGGGCACTCTTAGCATGAATCTTGCTTTGCCCCTCAGAGGAATCTTCAGCAGGGGTGGGGCAGGGAACCCTCTCCTCTGAAATCGAAGCACCAGCTGCAGAGAGCCTCCCCTTAAAGATCTGAGCACCAAACCTACGGAGCCTCTCCTCTGAGCTCCTAGGTTCTAGAAACTTGATTTCTTCCTTTTGTTCTCACAGTCCTAAAGGTTGAAGCTTCTTCCTGCAGTTACTGATCTCTGGTTACCTTAGCTTCTTGTTTTTTCCTTTTAGTCTTCCAACACCTGTGTAACCAATTCCCTGTATTTAATATCTTCTGTTTGAAATACGTAGTGTGTTTCTGTTTTTCTTATTGGACCTTGACTTATACAGTTAGTAAATGACAGAGCTGGGATTCAGATCCAGTAGCCTGATTCCAGAGCTCATACTCTTAATTGCTATTCATATTATTCTAAGTGCTTAAAAACAAAACAAAAATAAGACAAAAAAGTAAACATGACTTTAAAGAACCCTTGGGACAAAGAGGGACCAAAAATTGTAAAATGTAATTGGAGTATTTAGGTCTTAAATAATGATTAGAGAAAAATTAAAACCCTGTGACACACAAAAGCTATATTTATTGAGGGTGAAGCTCTTAGCTTTAAATGGTTTTATTTTTAAACAAGAAAGAAAAAAGCAAATACACCAAATATTTGTCTAAATAATTAGAAACATAATAAAATAAACCAAGGTAGGGAATTCCCTGCCTGGCAGTCCAGTGGTTAAGACTCGGTGCTTTTACTGCCATGGGCCTGGGTTCAATCCCTGGTTGGGGAACTAAGATCCCAAAAGCCACATGGGGCAGAAAAAAAGATAAAATAAAATAAACCAAGGTAAAACCAAAGGAAAAACAAAATATAAACAAAGTAGAAAATATGCAAGTCTCATGTCTACTTTTGCTTATCATTTTAACATTTTTTAAAATCCTCAGTGCCTGTCAGACCTCAGAGCTCCTTGCACATAGTGGAAAAAGTTGGTTTTAATGCAATATTTTCTCTATCAACTAAAACTATTCACACACACATACATAGGTAATATACATGCATACTGAAAATGACAGGGAGGATATCCATCTACCTGTCAGTAGGGTTTACTTATGAGTAATGAGATCAATTATTTTTATTCTTCTTCCTTCTGCTTTTCTTCTTCCTGCTTTTCTATATTTCCAAGTTTTACAAAATGATTATGCATTATCATAACTAGAAAAAAAGTTTTTAAAATAACCTTTCATCAAAAAATTTTAAAGTCCTTTGTTATAAAGCAGAAACTAACACACCATTGTAAAGCAATTTTACGCCAATAAAGATGTTTAAAAAAATTTTTTTTAAAGGCCTAAGATCAAATTGCGGAAAAGTGTTTTCCATTTATGTGACAAGGGTGTTATTTTTTAAATTTATTTATTTTTAATTAATTTATTTTTTTGGCTGCATTGGATCTTCATTGCTGCATGTGGGCTTTCTATAGTTGCTGTGAGCGGGGGCCACTCTTCGTTGCGGTGCGCGGGCTTCTCATTGCCATGGCTTCTCTTGGTGCGGAGCACGGGCTCTAGGCACGTGGACTTCAGTAGTTGCGGCACGCAGGCTCAGTAGTTGTGGCCTACGGGCTCTAGTATGCAGGCTCAGTAGTTGTGGCGCATGGGCTTAATTACTCCGTGGCATGTGGGATCTTCCTGGACCAGGGATCGAACCCGTGTCCCCTGCATTGGCAGGTGGATTCTCAACCACTGCGCCACCAGGGAAGCCCAAGGGGTTTTAATTAATAACATTAATATATAAAGACCTGCACATCTAATCTAAAGTAGTCAGTCAGACAATTTCTATCATATCACTCTAGTCTAATTATATTATGGTATTTACCATTATCCAACATTTTTCTTGACTTGTTTGCTCATTTACTGTGTTTTCCTTACCCTGACCTTAACGTAGGCTCTCTTACAAGGAGAAACCTTGTTTATCTTGTTCCACATCAAATTGCTTACTCCTAGAACAGTGCCTAGTACATGCGAGGAGCTCAGTATATACCGACTGAATAAATAAAAGAGTACTTTCAATCAATTCTTAAAAATGAATGCTCCAACAGAAAAACTGTATAACAATGTGATTTTAAAATGAAGAAATACACATATCCAATAAGTTTTAGACTATAAACTCTGTAAGGAAAGGAATATGTCTACGTATTTATCATTATATTTCCAGTTCCTAACACAGTTTTGACATGAAATAGATACTTAATAAAACAATCAATGAATAAATGAATGGACATAATGTTAAAGAAAAAAAATTTCATGACACTTGTCAAAGACAGTAAAGAAGACTTTATTCAGGAGGGACTATTGCAATGAGGATTTGGTGGTAGGGAAGAGAGACCAAGCTCAAATCCAAATCCAATCAGGATAAGTAGAGATCTATAGCCAAAGAGCAGGGTGGATGGAAAATTACTAAGAGGAAACATCAAGGCTAGGGGGATTCTTGCTTGTCAGACTCAACAGGATTCTTGCCTTAAGGCGGCCCAAGGTGATAAGATATTGAGAGTGAAAGATAAGGAATTTGAGCAGATTTCCAGAGTGATCATCTATCAGGGGTGAGGGATTTTCACTAAACTGGCCCAGCAGAATTCTTGCTAAAACTGGACTAACTGGGCCAAGGACCGAGCCCAAGTTCAAAGTCTAGTCAAAAAGAGGACTCAGGGCTTCCCTGGTGGCGCAGTGGTTGAGAGTCCGCCTGCTGATGCAGAGGACACGGGTTCGTGCCCCGGTCCGGGAGGATCCCACATGCCGCGGAGCAGCTGGGCCCGTGAGCCATGGCTGCTGAGCCTGTGCGTCCGGAGCCTGTGCTCTGCAATGGGAGAGGCCACAACAGTGAGAGGCCCGCGTACCGCCAAAAAAAAAAAAAAAAAAGGACTCAGAGGAGCTGATTCAAGTTTGGTCAAGGAGAATCTTTCTCAATGAAAGTCTTTGAAAAATGTTCACTAACTTAAACAATGACAATTAAAGTGACGAGCACCATCTCTACTTATCAAAATGTAATAGAGGGGACTTCCCTGGTGGCGCAGTGGTTAAGAATCCACCTGCCAATGCAGCGCTCACGGGTTTGAGCCCTGGTCCGGGAAGATCCCACATGCTGCAGAGCAACTAAGCCCTGTGCGCCACAACTACTGAGCCTGCGCTCTAGCGCCCACGAGCCACAACTACTGAAGCCCATGCGCCTAGAAGCCTGTGCTCCACAACAGGAGAAGCCACCGCAATGAGAAGCCCACACACCACAAGGAAGAGTAGTCCCCTGCTCGCCACAACTAGAGAAAGCCCGTGCGCAGCAACGAAGACCCAATGCAGCCAAAAATTAATTAATTAATTAAAAAAAATGTAATAGATCTCTCTCTCTCTTCTTTTTTTTCTTTTTTTTCTAAAGACATGTCACCGGTAGAGAGTGACTGGGGGCTATTTTATTGTATTTTATTTATTTATTTATTTTGGCCATGCTGTGTGGCATGAGGGATCTTAGCTCCCTGACCAGGGATTGAACCCATGATCCCTGCATTGGGAGTGCAGAGTCTTAACCATTGGACCACCAGGGAAGTCCTAGATTTCTCTTTACACTGTACAAACTCAGTGTTCACAAGGGTACAGAAATACTTAGGATTTAATGTCTCCTTTTAAGACCAAAAACTTCTTGAGTTGCAAGGAGTATATCTATTTTGTTCATTGTAATAAACTTTCAAAGGCGTAGCCCATGGTGGGCGCTTTAACATTTGTTAACTGAATCACTGAGTGGGGAGCAAATCAGTATTAACTTTCCTAGAGGGTACTTTGGCCTATAGCTATAAAAACATTCATACCTTTTGACCCAGTTATTCCAAAAAAAAAAAAAAAAATCATAGCCTTAGGAAAAAAGTCAAAGAAGCACAAATAAGGATATTCATTCTAATCACAACAAACCTTCAAGTTGTGAACTTTCAAAGATGCAAACATGCAGTCCATCAACATCAGGCATGAGTGAAATTGCAGCTTGCCCTCTATCTCCTATTGCTGACGATCCTTCAGCTCTACCATCTCCCACCGCCTCTCCCTCCTCCAGTCAGTAACTCTTCTTGCCTCTTCACTTGATGCCAGCCCCTGTATGCCAGCTGTTGTACTGTACTACTCTACTTTTTAAGGCACAGTAGTACAGTACAGTAAGATTTAAAATGTTTTCTTTATTTTTTGTGTTTGTTTGTTTTTTATGTATTATTTGTGTGAAAAGTATAATAAACCTATTACAGTACAGTACTATGTAGCCAGTTGTGTTAGTTGGGTGCCTAGGCTAACTTTGTTGGAGTTAACGAACAAACTGGATCTGCGTACATGCTCTCAGAATGTAACTCATTCGTATGTAGGGGACTTACTGTATGTATAACAGTAAAATTTTAAAACAAAACAATACAGTATTCAAAGAACGGATTATTAAAAGCAGCCATTAAAAATAATGCTTCTGAAAAACATGTAATGAAATGGGAAACTATTAAATGAAAAAAAAAGTACCAAATATGTATTGTGATCCAATATGGTAAAAAAACCAAAACAAAACAAAACAATTTATATATGGAAAAATGCTAAAAGGAAATTGATCAAAATGTCAACAGCACAAATAAACGGAAAGATATTCCATGCTCATGGATTGGAAGAATTAATATTATTAAAATGTCCATACTGCCCAAAGCAATATACAGATTCAGTGCAATCCCTATCAAAATTCCAATGGCATATTTCACAGAAACAGAACAAAAAAATCCTAAAATTTGTATGGAACCATAAAAGACCCTGAATAGGCAAAAAAATCTTGAGAAAGATGAACAAAGCTGGAGGCATCATGCTCCTTGATTTTGAACTATATTACAAAGCTATAATAATTAAAACAGTATGGTATTGGTACATACACATAGATCAATGAAATAGAATACAGGGCCCAGAAATAAATGCATGCATATACGAAAAGGAGCCAAGAACATACAATGGGGAAAGAACAGTCTTTTCAATAAAATGTTGGGAAAATGGACAGCCACTTGCAAAAGAATGAAACTGGACCCCTATCTTATACCATATACAAAAATCATCTCAAAATGGATTAAAGATTTGAAAGTAAGACCTGAAATCATAAGACTCCTAGAAGAAAACGTAAGCTACTTGACATAGGTCTTGGCCATGATTTTTTTTGAATCTGACTCCAAAAGCAAAAGCAACAAAAGCAAAAATAAACAAGTGGGGCTACATTAAACTAAAAAGCTTCTGTACAGCCAAGGAAACCATCAACAAAACAAAAAGGCAACATACTGAATGGGAGAAAATATTTGCAAATCATATATCTAATAAGGGGCTAATATCCAAAAATATAAAGAACTCATATGACTCAACAGCATAAAACAATCTGATTAAAAAATGGGCAGAAGATATGAAGACGTATTTTTCCAAAGAAGACATATGGATGGCCAATAGGTACATGAAAAGATGTTCTACACCATCAACCATCAGGGAAAGGCAAGTCAAAACCACAATGAGATATCACCTTACACCCGTTAAAATGGCTATTATCAAAAAGACTAGAAATAACAAGTGTTGGTGAGGATGTGGAGAAAAGGGTATCTTTGTGCACTGTTGGCAGGAATGCAAATTGGCATAGCCACTATGGAAAACAGAAGGAGTTTCCTCAAAAAAATAAAAAATAGAACCACCATATGATCCAGCAATTCCACTTCCTGGTATTTATCTGTAGAAAATGAAAACACTAATTTGAAAAGATATATGCACCTCCCTGTTCATTGTAACATTATTTACAATAGCCAAGGTATGTTAACAACCTAAGTGTTCACTGATGGATAAATGGATAAAGAAACTATGGTATATATACACAATGGAATATTATTCAGCCATAAAAAAGGAAATCTTGCCACATGTGACAATATGAATGGACCTCAAGGGCATTATCCTAAGTGAAATAAGTCAGAGAAAGACAAATAGCATGTGATCTCTGTTATACATATATGTATATATCTCTTAGATGCAGAGAACAGATTGGTGATTTCCAAAGGTGGGGGGGGTGAGGGGGCATGGTGGGAGAAACAGGTGAACTGTTTTCTTCTTGTTGTTGTTTAAATAAATTGAGTTTTAATAGAAGATGAGGACTGAGAGCTGCCTATTGGACATATTAATGTGGAGAATTGATGGAGACAGCAAGAATAGACAATCGTATTGAGGTGTTTTTGCAGGAAAGAGGTACAGAAAAATGGGGTAGTTGCTGGAGAAGGATGAAAATTCAAGGTAAATTGATGTTTAACTAATGACATCAAAATGAACTGCAGGAGAAGGTGGAAATATGAGAGACCTAGAATGTTTCACCTGCCTTTCATGTTATCCAAGAGGACTGAATATCCTATACACTTTATTCATCCATTGAGATTTACTGGTATCTAACTTGGACTTTCAGGTCTAGCAACAGTTTTGATGAAGGAATTCTGCTAAGAGAACATTTCTATGGTTAATCAGACTCTTAGAATTCTATCTAATTAGGACCCTGATAAGAAGCATTGAATATGTTTCAGCAATTTTGTTTGATTTTTCATTAAATTACTAATTCATTTGTTCAAAGTATTTTTTGAGCACTCACTACGCATGTGTGAGTCAGTTGCTAAGGACAGAAAGATGAATGTGGTGTAATCCTGAAGGGATAAACACGTAAACCAGTAACGACAGTACCAATTGATATGGGCTATAAATGAAGGTATAGTCGTCCCTCAGGATCCGAGGGGGATTTGTTCCAGGACCCTTCTCAGATACCAAAATCTGCTGATGCTCAAGTCCCTTACATAAAATGGCACAGTATTTGCACATAACTTATGCACAAGAGATGATACTTTAAATCATCTCTAAATTATTATAAAACCTAATACAATGTAAATGTATGTAAATGTAGTTGCTGGCCAAGGTAAATTCAAGTTTTGCTTTTTGGAACTTTCTGGAATTTTTTTTTTTTTCTGAATATTTTCCATCTGTACTTGGTTTAATCCTCAGATGTGCAACCGTCAGATACAGAGGGCCAACTGTACATTCAAAGTGCTGTAGTAACAGTAAATAGAACACAGCAGAAGGGGTAGTTGAAAGATTTATAGGGCAACTAAAAGGAGAAAGGGGATTTAGAGTTACAATAGGACATTGGACTGGAAAATGTTGAGAGGTCCTTGAAAATTTGAGCTTCATGAAAACAGTGAATGCAAAAAAAAAAAGGCAATAGCAATTATATCTGAGTGATTTTTATTCTGAGTTGACTTCTTCATACTTTCTTCAATGATTATATAATTACTCTTCTAACCAGAAAACAAAACAAAACCAAAAAAATCCAAGAAATCTTTTTAAAGAAAAGAAATGGTTGTTACTATGTCCCTTCTGCTAAACAGGGGCTCTCAAACTTGAAAATGCATCAGAATCACCTGGATGGTTGGTGAAAAGAGATTGCCACCTCTGCCCCTCCCTCCTATTCAACAGATCTAGGTGGGGCCTGATAATTTGCATTTCTAATAAGTTCCACTGGACTAAAAGATTGCAGTATAGAATGGCTATATGGTACAGTGAAAATGAGTGGGTTTTGAGGTCAGGTTGTGATTCTGGTTCTGCCCTTTGCAGGCTGTGTGTAGCAACAGTTGACATACTTTAACCACACTCAGCCTGTTTCCACACTGATAAAATAAAAGTAACACACACCTCATAAGTGTATTGTGAAGGCTGAATGATATGATTAAATATCCAATGCAGTGCAGTCCTTAGTTAAGGTCCTTAAATAATGTTGGTCCCCTTCCCTTTGATTTCCTCTACGGATGAACCACACATTTGCCATAACTGGGTTTACTGTGACATCGTTTAGTCACATCACAGGTCAAATCATTTCCTCCGAACCTAGCAAACCAGGCACATCCCTCTGCTACTAACAAAATCTTCATTGTTCATTTATAAAATTGGGGATAATAGTATAATTGTGTCTACTTTGCACAGGTGCATCCATGAGGGTTAAACAAGATACTATGTTAAGTGCCTAAATCAGTAATTGGCACGTGGAAGATGTATAGTAACTTTCCTTTCCCTTTCCCTTTAATTGGATATTTCTCCATAGTATCTCCTTGACCAAGTTCAACATGGTCTAGAATAACTCAAAACAACTTTTCCACCCTAATCAGATTGTTTTCTGTGTCACATTTAATTTGAAGTCAATTATTTGGTTTATTTAAATACTGGTAAGGACAGACTATATAAACTATTGTACTGAATGTTCAAGGAGATAAGTAGAAGACTGTTACCTGATTCTGAGTAGTTGGTTGAGGTGACAATATACTTGAAAAGCTGCAAGGCCAGGTAGGACAAATCATACAGAAATAAGTGTGGTAGGAGTTTTGAGATTACAGTGGTTGATCTGATTATTTTACACTAAGATCTAGAGAATTACTGAGTTGTAAGAGAGCTATGGCTTTATGGCTGAGACAATAGGTCCAGAGAGCTAAGTGGTCTAGGGGCACAGCTATGGAGCGGCAGGGGTTTCCTGTCTCCCAGTCCCGTGCTGCTTATAGATATGTTTCTTACCTTAAGGAGGCAGTTTTGTGTAGCTAGTTAAGCACTGGGTTCTGAAGCTAAAATGCTTGGATTTGAGTCCTGGTTTTTCCAGTTACTGTGTGACTTTGGGCAAGTCACTTATCTCTATGCTTCAGTTCCTCCATCTATAAAGTGAAAATAATAATAGTACCTTATTTCATAGGGTTGTTGTGAGGATTCACTAACTTAATATATGTAAAGCATTAAAAACTGTAGTTTTGACATTATAACTGCCATTAGTCTCTAAGAGAATGGAAGACAAGAAGTCCAGTCTTCTGTTTTTTCCTTCTTTTTCTTCTTCTTTTAAAAACTTCCTCCCTCAGATTCTGATCAAAGCATCCACATGAGTGCTCAATAAATATATGTTAGCTACCTTAATCTTATAGGATAAAAACACATTTTTGTATCTCAGAAGTAAGACTTGGGATTTGCATGAGTCAGGCCTAGTCTGGTAACAGGAAAGTCTAGAAAAGTAAAAACTGAGATAGCAACAGATTCCAGGATCCAACAGGGCTTCTTTAAAAAGGCCAGGCAAGGGACTTCCCTGGTGGCACAGTGGTTAAGAATCCACCTGCCAGTGCAGGGCACAGGGGTTCGATCCCTGGTCTGGGAAGATCCCACGTGCCGAGACGCAACTAAACCCATCTGCCACAACTACTTAGCCTGCGCTCTAGAGCCTGTGCGCTGCAACTACTGAGCACCCGCGCTGCAACTACTGAAGCCCACGCGCCTAGAGCCCGTGCTCTGTAAAAAGAGAAGCCACCGCAATGAGAAGCCCGTGCACTGCAGCGAAGAGTAGCCCCCGCTCGCCACAACTAGAGAAAGCCCACGCGCAGCAACGAAGACCCAACGCAGGCACAAAAATAAAAGAAATTAAGAAAAGAAAAGAAAAAAGCCAGGCAAGATCAATAGATGCAGAGAAAGATGGAGGTCAATGAATCTAATTTCAAATATGCTTTCCCATCTATTTTAAGATCTATTCCAAACTTCCTTGGAGAAAATCTAGACTTTTAAGGAAAGTGCAGAGACCGTGCCTCCCGTGGGCTTGATTTGAGGGAATATTTCAGCAGGTGCTGCATTCCGCCCTGGAGGAGGCTGCATGGATTTGTGAATTGAGGTGACAACACTGACTCCCTGAAAAGATGCTATGTCTACACAGGAACTTTAACTGATAGTTTAACTACAGTGATACTACTTGAAACATGAGGAAGAAAGAGGAAGAGGAGGAGAAAAGGGAGAAGGAAAAGAGGGAGTTGAAAAAAGAGGAGGAGGAGGAAGAAGAGAAAGAAGCAGCAGAAACCGCTGTCAAGCCAGTCACAACTCAGTTCAATAGTCATTTTAGAAAAAGCAAGAACCAGCCCCCCCGACCTCCCTCCGCCCTGGAGCACCTTTCTCTACGCTCCTCAAATGCCTGCTGAAAAAATTCTGGGACTAATTTACAATCCAAGAAGGCTGTCGCAGAATTAGGGAGAGCAGGTGGAGGTGAGAAATAACCTGTATTGAGGGACTTGAAAAATCATGGATTTGGGGAGGGGGGATGGGCAGGGATTTGGCACTACCTTCAGCATCGTCTATCAGGAAATCTAGGGACGGAAGAAGGTTCCAAGAGGGGTCCCAAATCTTCTGCATTTTGCAGATGCAAATCACATCGTCCGCCTCCACTCTCGGCACTCGGGCGGTATCAGGATAAAATAAGCATCAAAAGGGGAATCTTGAAGTGAAAACAAATAGCAGAAGGTCAGCCTAGAGTTCTTGTGTGGGAGTGGCTTAACAAAGGTCAGCACAGCCACAGCATCAGAAAAGGTGGAAGAATTAAGGGTCACCGACAGACGAGCCCCAAAGTTTGGGGTTTGGGTCTCCTGGTACCCTACGATTTGCCCCGCACACACACCCTTTAAGTTTCTCAGTTTGAGTCTCGCCTGTAGACTTCCTGAAAAGATACGGTCTTATTAAGCGTTCTCACAGCGCCTAGCTCAGAGCTGACCCGTGAGCCGGTTCTCAATAACATCTGGGAGCAAAAGCGGCTTTTGAAGTTGGAGGAGGAAGGGCTCTGGGTTTATTTATGTTAGGGTTGGCTTTCGGGTGTGGCCCGGCACCAACTGCCAGCAAAAATTTCCCGATCACCTCCGGTCTTCCACCTCTGCCCAGGTGACGTCGGTAAGCCCCGCAGGACCAGCTAGGGGCTAAGCGGCTAAGCCGCGTCCTTCAGGTGTCAGTCTCGATCCGTTCTGAAACCACAATCCCCAGAATCCCTTGTGCAGGGAGGTCAAGTCGCAAATAAGATGGCTCCAGAAGGGTGGGACATGCAGCAGGGTGGAAACCCTGGTCCCTGGCAGTCTCTTTACCGGATGTGTTTAAATAACTGAATCCCCACAAATGCACCACTGCACTAACCACCTCCGTGGCCGAGGAGGCCAACGCAGCCGCCTCTCTCGGTCGTCCAGGGGCATCCTGGGAGTTGCAGTCCAGTCGCTGGGCTGCGCCGAACAACCTTTCCCATAGTGCCCTACGGGTCGGGCAATTTCAACGTTCTTTTCCAAAACTCTCTCTGCACTGAGATCCCCTTTCCCCGGTCCCCTTCTCTCCGACAACTCCTTCCCGTCTGTGGCGACAGAGCGGCGGCCGCCGGTGGCCTGGGCCCCTGGCCGGGTCGCCCCGAGAGGCACTTCCGGCGGCGGTTCACTTCCTGGTTGGGTGGATGGAGCCGAGCGGGAGCGCGCGCGGGGGAGGGGCGGCGGGTTAGTCTCCGCCGGGCGCTCCGGGGATCAGCTGGCGGGCGGGCGGGTGCCGAACGCGGCCCCGGCTCTCGCTGCAGCGCCGCCTCTTCTCCTTGTCGCAGGCCGGCCCGGCGGTCGTGACAATGTTGCGGCGCTGGTAGCTGGGCGCCGGCCGCCAAGCCATCTCAAGGGGGTGCCGCTGGGATGCTGCCTCGCGGGGCGGCGGGGAGACCGGGGAGGAGGGGAAGCAGTGCCGGGTTGGGTCAGCGCTGCCCGAGGCGGCCCGAATCCCTCGTTTTTCAGACCCGGGGGCACGGGGTCCCGGGTTCTGGGGCTTGGACGCGTTTTCAGCCCCAGGGTTTTTCTAAGAAAATGCATGAAGCGTTTCCCCAGGATGGTGGCTTTTGCTCCCCCTAGGACTCAGCAGTTGAATTTTTAAGTGTGTTACTGATTCATCCTCTCTCTCTTCCTCTGTCATCACAGGTTTAAACTTACACGAATCGCTCTCTTGAGGAGGAGGGGACCGCCGCGCGATTGACACGCATATTCCTATAGGCATCCTCCCTCAGCCCCCACCCCGTCGGCCGGATTCGGGTGGCTCCTCTCCTAGCTGAAATCTGAGAAGAAATCCTTGGATCTCTTGTTTAAAAAAAAAAAAAAAAAAAAAATCTAGAAACCGTCGGTATTTTGCTTTACTGCTTCCTTTTCGCAAGATGAAGAAGTTTTTCGACTCCCGGCGAGAGCAGGGCGGCTCTGGCCTGGGCTCCGGCTCCAGCGGAGGAGGGGGCAGCACCTCGGGCCTGGGCAGTGGCTACATCGGAAGGGTCTTTGGCATTGGGCGACAGCAGGTCACTGTGGACGAGGTGTTGGCGGAAGGTATGGTGGGACTCTTTCAGTGCGCCGTAAATTAAAATCTTGTGCTGATGCAGCAAGACGTTGAATGTATGAATGGGTTTTGACCAGTTGACCCTCCCTTCCCCCTCCCCTTGCCCTGTGAATCATTGTCCTTGAGAAATTTGAAACTGAGATTTCAAAGTGACAGGGCTTTATGGGGTGGGGGGAATTTGCCAGAAATTGTTTACCTCGGTGGCCTTTTATTTAAAAAAAAAATTTGACAAGCCAATTCTTGCCTGCCTCACCGAATTATGAGGATCAGACGAGAAAACGTATGTGTGAAAGTGTAAAGCTTCACATCAGATGTAGGGTGTGGGGCTTGTCATCCTCCTAAAACTTGAAATACTGATGTGAGGGCTGAGCGGTGGGGATGGAGGACCTTTAAGAGGGGTTTCTTCTCCTACCCAACTTTCCCACTCCCTTGAGCAGGCACTGGAAGGAAGACAGGATTTTCAGAGAATCAGAGTGTGTTTTTCTAAGAGCCAAGGCTCTTGGTGGATTTGACTAGGTTTGTTTCCTGACCCAACTGTAATCAGGTCCCCAGGATGCAGCTAAGATAACAAATTACATGAAATGAATGTGGTTATTTTGAAATCAGTCCAGTAGGCCCCTCTTTCTCCTGTTCTTGTTTTTCGGTTTTTGGGGTGTGTGTGTGTGTGTGTGTGTGTGTGTGTGTGTGTGTGTGTGTGTGTGTGTGTGTGTGTGT